ATTCTCATAAAAATAAATTACTTCTACTGCCCCTTTGGAATGTCCAAGGACGCCCTTGTGAGCTCCTCTCTCAAAAGATGCATTTTCCATTAATAAAAGACCACTTGTATTTCCGCCTGTATGAATTAGGGATCTTCTGCCTAAATTGGCTAAGCACAGAGATATCATCAACATCTTCCTGTCAAGGTAGTAGTGGAAAATGGTTTGTCGACTGGAGAAACATTCGAAATAGGAGACTTTTCATACCACCCTTCCATAACCTTAGGTAAAGGTTCCCTTTGCACATACGTGTTAGCTGTTTCCAGCTCTAGGGGGCAGTGCTGACCTCCGTTACAAAGCCAAAGAGCCAGTGCTGTCCCAAGACGTCTCTGTGGTCATGTGGCGAAAACCAACTGGCCAGTGTGTGCCAGAAACTAAAAGAGCAGCTGGCGAGGGCGTGCGTACCCACAGAGAGGATTCTGCGTGCCATAGGTTCACCATCACGGGTGTAGGGTCTCCTGCTTTGAGCAGGGGGTTGGACTTGATGACCTACAAGGTCCCTTCCAACTCTGTTAATCTATTAAACCTAATCATGATAGTAGGAAACTCTACTAAAGCATTAGTACTTTATTTTAAGGGAAGCTACATTATATTGAGGGAAGCTAGTTCATCCTCTGCCTTCAGGGTAGAGCAAAATTATTACCAAATTGTACTCTTTGATAGGATAGATGGGGGAAATTATTCGATGTATTACTGACATGGGAATCCACATTAAATACATTACATTTTAATGGAAATAAAACTGAAGAGCAATTGGATATTGCTCCATGCTCTGCTTTTAGAAAGGGACAACTCGACAGCCAACTCACTAGGGCCAACCCGCCACAGGATAACTTCACAGGACCAACTCACTGCAAGGACAACTTGCTACAGGCAGTTGGTGGGAGAGTTGGATGGGCAGGGGAGCAAGCGGATGGGCAGAGCGCATCGGGGCAGGTGGCGAGACATGGCAGCTGCTGGGGTTTCCCATTTTTATAGCCCTCCATCCGAGCCTGGCGCAGCCAGGGAGACAGTGGTTCTGAGCCTGGTGTGGTGGCAGCGATGGGTCTGAACCTGGCATGGCAGCAGCAATGGTGTGAAAATGTGAAGTCCCCTGCCAACTGGGCTCTGCATTCTGCACTCTGTATTCTGCACATCCACCCACCATATCGGTTCTTTCTCTGGCTGCCTGCGGCAACTTGTCACCATGGCCTCAGTTAGCCACGTGGAGTTGTCTTGCGGCAAGTTGGCAGAGGTGAGTTGGCATGGTGAACTGGAAGCAGCAAGTTGGCCAAGGAAAGAATAGATCTCAACATGCCATTGTTGTAAGAAATATCCATCTGGTTCAGTTCCAAGCTGGAGAAAGACACTGGAAACATGGAGGCTGATTGGAAAAATGATTTAATGGTGAAGCAGAACCACATGGGTTCTGACCACATGGAGCTGAGAGTGGAAGGTTTTTATACCTTCTCTTGGGCTTTGCACTTGAGCTTCCTGTTTCTATGCAAGAACGTGCATTCTATTGGCTGTTGTCAGACTCCCATGGGGCCATATAGAGGTTATGAAGGGGTCACAGCTGGCTCTATAGGCAAAGTACAAATCCTAGGTGTTTGTCTGAGCTAAGTTTGGTTGAAGTTTGGTCTGCTCTGAGATGATTCAGTGAAGGAGCTTGTGTTCTGAAAGGGTGTTGGGCAATTCCTATTGTGAATTAATGGCTTTGTCCTGTAGGATAATCCCAACATCCTGAGCTGAAGGTCTTTTGTTTTGTAGATGCGCTGGCCCAGTCTTTCTTAATGGGCACAAAATATCTGCTGGAGACTGTTAAGACTAAGTCTGCTTCCTGCCTCTAAAAAAACCATGTTTCTCCATTTCTCATTTAGGGAAATATAATCTGCCTTTTTAATATTCCTCAAAATATTTCATTCTTCTAAGAGGGAGGTGGCTTCCCACACCATTCAAAGGCCCATAGCATAATTCACAAATACTCTGGGTGAACAACTTTCAGTTGTCCATAGGAGTGTTTTCCTTAAAAACTATTTGACTTGTGGTAATATAGCTCACAAATCCCATTCATCTTAGGGCCGTGATGGCGAACCTATGGCATGCCTGCCACAGATGGCATACAGAGCCATTTGTGCCGACACATGAGCTGCAGGCAAACTTACTTCACTGGGCATGTGCGTACCTCACAGCTGATTTTCAGCCAGTTTGAGGCCTTTTTCGGCCTCCCAAAGGCTTGAGGAAGACTTCTGCAGGCTTTTCAGGCTGAAAACTAGCCCCATTTCATCATTTCCTGTTTTTTCCAAAAATACCGGAAGTGACAAACGGAACTAGTTTTTAGCCTGCAAAACCTGCAGAAGCCTTCCTCAAGCCTTTGGGAGGCCGAAAAAGGCCTCAAACTGGCTGAAAATCAGCTGTGAGGCGCAGTGCAGGTAAGGGGGTGGGGGGGTGATTACATACGCATGCATAGGGGGAGTTGGGGGGCGCACATTGCCTTCTGGGTCCTGGCATTTGAATGCAAGTGTGCAAGCGTGCACACAATTTTTGGCACAGGAGCCCAAAAAGGTTAGCCACCACTGTCTTAGGGCATAAGCAAACCAATGATCAGGGTTTACTCTCAGGGTGCTTCTCATTGAATTCCTCATTAAGAGAAACAGCTCCAAAAATAGACTACACAAGGTTAGATAGCATTCTGGAAACCACACACACTCCTTATTAGTGTCACATATCACAGTCTCAGTATGATGCAAGGGAAACTCCAAAGAAGAAGAAGAAAATCCATTATCTTCCTGCCCCCACATAATTGTAGCTCTGCAGCACAGCAAGAATTTATATACCCATGAAAATGAATCTGCCTAATTAATTGGGGAGGAAAAAAATAGCACCCTACATTCTGTTAGATCATGTTTGCAGCGGCTCAATTTCCCTGTTAGGTTATTTATACAAAATTTCACTTTGAATTAGCTGGTGTTTCTCATTAAAAGGCTCCACCATACAAGTTTACCAAACTTAAAAGATACTTCTGATTCCAACTTCAGGTGTATAAACAAACACTTGTGAATTCGGGATTTGTAAACATTCCAGATGAATTCAGGATTAAATCCCAGTGAGTTCAACAAAGTGTATTTCTCAGGAGACATGTTGAAAAATAGCAGCCACGGTGTGTTCTTTGGTCAGCTATATTATGGAAAGATTCCCTTGTCAGACTTCGAACGCTGACATCCTTTACAAATAGATCAAAACAACATCTTGGTTGAGTTTGCCTAGGTCAGTGATGGCCAACCTTTTAGGCACTGAGTGCCCCAAATGCCCAAATTGCAAGGCTCCCACCAGCACACGCAGGGCAGAGAACCAAAGACCAGCTGGCCAGCGGTAAGTGGACCATCCCAACACCGGCAGCTCTGCAAGAGGTGAGATCTTTTGCTTTTGTGAGCTTCTGTTTCCCTGCAAACGATGGAGAGAAACGCCACGGAGAAGCATGGTGAACCTGAGCTGGGGCGACGGGGTGCGAGCCCACAGAGACGGCTCTGCATGCCACCTCTGGCATACATGGGAAGGGCAGATGGCTGAGAGGTTGCCAGAGGTTCCCCACCACTGGCCTAGGTTAGCTTAAACTTACATATAACTACATCATATAAAGGCACAGCAATTGCGGATCGTGTCTTTAAGACAGGTTCCTTTTAAGTGTTGTGTGTTATGAATTCCTACTCCACATTATTTATTTATTTTGTTTGTCGTGTTTTATTTTTTAAAAAAATATTTGTAAATAAAATATGTGTAAAAATATTTTTACAAATAATTCAAGGAGGTGAACCTTCCTCCTCCTATTTTCCCCACAACAACAACCCTGTGAAGTAGGTTGTGCTGAGAGAGAAAGAGATCGGGAGGGAAGTGCTTGGCCCAAAGTCATCCAACTGATTTTCATGGCCAGGGCAGGACTTGAACCCATGCTCTCCTGCTTTCTAGCCTGATGCCTTAACCACTAAACCAGATCGACACTTATGATTCATTAATATCCTACAAGTCCCAGAAAGCAGGTTTTCATGTTATGCCAGTGGTGGGATTCAATTTTTTTTTTACTACTGGTTCTGTGGGCGTGGCTTGGTGGGCGTGGCAGGGGAAGGAAACTGCAAAATCCCCATTCCCTTCCCACTCCTGGGGGAAGGATACTACAAAATCCCCATTCCCTCCCCATCCCACTAACCTGCTTTCCAGCTCCGTTCTCCTGTGCAGGGCAACAAAAGAAGACCCAGCCAATCAGCTGGGACTCGGGAGGCAGAGGATAAATGGGGGCGGGGCCAGTCAGAGGTGGGATTTGCCGGTTTTCTAAACTACTCAAAATTTTCACTACCGGTTCTCCAGAACTGGTCAGAACCTGCTGGATACCACCTCTGGGTCCTAGCATATAAATCATTTGTCGACACATCAAATAGGAGACTTTTAAAACCCCAGCCAGGTCAATCAGGTCACCGTGCTGTTGCCAAGTGATTCTAAAATGCTACATGACAATTTAGATGCTATTTAATTCATACATGTATATTTGTTGCATTTTTTCAAAGGTTCGCCAATTTATTTAAAAAGAAACAAAACGCAAGGAAAGCAATATTACATTAGCATTGTGGACTAATTTGTCACCACAACTAGCAGTGCCACACTATATATAGTGTATATAGTATGGCACAGTGGTCCTGGGTTGCCCTTCATAAAACAGCTGTAACCCTGAAAAATGTTTTCCTCAACCACAAACAGTAGCAAACCTGGGTTAGGGAACAAAACGGCAGGGAGGTAGAACATAGCCAAGTTTCAATCAAGTTTTAATCTGCAAAGGTATAATATATCAATGCAAACTGCATGGCATGCTTGCATTTTTTTTTCCTCCCTGCTAATTGCATCTACGGTATTTATTTATTTTTCTGAACCTGTCTATCATTTTGCTTTAACAGCCCAAAACAAAGCAAGGATGGTAGTTTCAAAGCACTCACCTTCTCCAAAGAAGCCCGGTGCTCGTGGTCAGAACTGTTGTTCCAGCAAAGGCTAGCATCATAAGCCTGTGCCGGCTTTGGTGATAACGAGGGGTACCAAAATGGCGCCTGGAAGTGACCGCCAAGGCCGCCATAGTAGGGAGAAGACGAAATCGCAACATTCTGGGAAAGGAAATAAAGAAAAGTGTAAGAATGAAAGCATCAGAATGGCTTAGGTTTTGAGACCGCTTCTGGATTTTTTTACTTGAGAAAGATAAAAAGGAAGTTTTGATTTTAGGCTTTGATGATCTGATTTGTTATGACTGTAGATTGCCCTCAACTTCACTGAGCTGTTGCTAAGCAAGGTGTCAAGGTTCCAAGTAACCTACCCATGGCAAACAAAACTCGGAGGCAGGTAGATTCCTCAAAGAATAGTTTTATTGGATATGTCATATTGGCACAGGCTGGTGAAAACTGACTCTAAACGTTCCTGCAGTTTTCACCTAATTAAAAGTAGTTTTTCACTTTCTCAAAACAATCATGGTCCAGTTAGGATACATTCCAGTCGCTAGGTGACTTCAATCCCCTCCTTCCAAGCACTTGCTGGAATGTCCTTGGTTCCCAAGAGGAAGTATTTTGTTTTGGCTACAAACCCAAGCTATCTCTATTCCCCGCTTCCAATCCCTTAGCTCCAGCTGTGGCAGCACTGAAGCCTCAAAATGGCCTCAGTCAGGTCATCTTCAGGGTTAATACAAGGCAGTAGTTGAGTTTTGCTCCAATTTATGACCTTCTCTGCCACAGTAGTTAAGCGAATCACTGCAATTGTTAACTGAAATGTGCGATCATTAAGAAAATCTGGCTTCCCTCACTGGCTTTGCTTGTCAGAAGCCGGCTGGGAAGGTTACAAATGGTGATTACTAATCCCAGAATAGGGCAAGTGTCATAAATACATACCAGTTGCTAAGCAGCCGAATTTTGATGACGTGACCACCATGGGAATGTTGCAATGGCCATAAGTGAGAAAAAGTAGTCATATGTCGCTTTTTTCAGTGCTATTATAACTTTGAACAGTCACTAAATAAATGATTGTAAGTTAAGGACTATCTGTGTAGATATATTGAGTATTTTTATTGTTATTACTAGATATGTATATTTTATATTTTTAAACGTTTATGTTTAAACTTCAAGTAAATAATTATTTTGCATAGAATTTTAGTGTTTGTGGACTGAATTTTAGTGGACTGTGTAGTTTGTATACTGAGTATATGATACTTTCGTTTTAATTCAGTAACAGGTTATTTTATTATATGTTTGTATCAGACTCACAGCGGCGTCACGTGACATATTGAGACTTTTTTCCCTTTGCTAAACCGGCCGTGGCCGTGGTCAGCATGCAACATATCTGGCCCGTGGGCCACGTGTTTGACAGTCCTGATTTGTAGTGAAAAAATTGGGAAATCACTGTTTTTGTATCCCTTTTTCCCCCCTTCTCTCTTTTTAACTTTCCCTTCCCTTTTAATCTTGGTTATTGCTGTTGTTGTTTTGTACTTTATTTTTTCTCTGAAACTTCACAAAGTTGGTTAAAAAGAAAGAGAAGCTTAAGTTTTGAACTGTGCAGATCAGGGGCTTTTGAAGAAACTAAAAAGCTGCAGTGTTCACCTCCTTTTCAATCTTCGAGCTAGCAAAACAAAACAAAAAACCCCAACAGCACCAGTTAGCTTGTTAAGCTTCACAATTTACCACTGAACTTCCTAAACCCTGGCGGAATTTCTACTCTAATTCAGGGATAATCATCTTGTAGGCAGCCAAGCAAGTTGAACTCCGTGTCATAGAAGTTATCATCAAACCGAGATGTCAAGTCAGTCAATCTGAGGCTGGTGTCTTGGATATAAATTTCAACTGCCAGAGAGTGTATTTTTTCTTTTATGTACACTGAGAGCATTTGCACCAAGACAAAATCCTTGTGTGTCCAATCACACTTGGCCAATAAATAATTCAGTGGCTGAAATGTAGACAAAGGCAGCACCTGTTTGGAGACTAGTCCAAAACATGACAAGCCAAGAAGGAACCAGGAGGCCACTGGGACAAAGCTGGAAAGTGAGATTCCTAAGGTTGGTTGCACAAAATTCCATTCTGGGCCTAGAGCTGATGAGATTAAAAGGGAAGACTACACATCACTTCATTCTGCAGTCTAGAATGATTTGGTTTGATTCCTGGCAACCCAAAACGTAGCCTAAGGCTTTCTAGATGTTCTAGGTCACACATCTAGTCAGTCCCAGCCAGAATATCCAGAGAAGCTCTCGTAGTTTGGTCACCAGATTATAAAAAATATGTTGAGACTTTGGAAAAAGTGCAAAAGAGAGCAACTAAGATAATTAAAGGCCTGGAGACAAAAACCTATGAAGAACAATTGCGGGATTTGCGGTTGGCTAGTCTAGAGAAAAAAAGGACTGTATGATAGCAGTATTCCAGTATTTGAGAGGTTGCCACAAAGAGGAGGGGGTCAATTTATTTTCCAAAGTACCAGAGGGCAGGACAAGAAACAATGGATGGAAACTAATCAAGGAGGGAAGCAACCTGGAATTAAGGAGAAACTTCCTAACGGTGAGAATAATTAACCAGTGGAACAAACAGCCGGCAGTCAAAAGTTGTGGGTGCTTCATCCACAATGTTGTCTTTAAGAAGAGACTGGACAACCACTTGTTTGAAAGGGTGTAGGGTCCCCTGCTTGAGCAGGTGGTTGGACTAGAGACCTCAAAGATCCTTTCCAGCTCTATTCTGGTTGATTGATTGATTGATTGATTGATTGATAGTTAAGGAGATATCCTGTTTCAAGTCTACAGTACTTTCAGTCATGGAAACTCATTAGGTGATTGAGTCACACACTCTCCTTTAAAAACCTCATAGGGATGTTGGTGTAACTAATAAAATGAAGGCAGATTTCCAGGTAATCTAACAATTGAACTAATGCGATCAACAAAATTTTCACTCCAAAATTTCTGGAGGGCACCAGTTTATGGAAAGATGCATTAGTTTACGTTGTGAAAGTACTCACTGACATATCTGTTATGGAATAAAAACCTTTGCATCATCACCCAACTACTGTAACCATATAAAGTTAGGGTTGGTCTCTTCTCCAAATTACAAGTGTGTATGTTTACACAATTTGTGCAAATCCTAACAAAAATATAATAAAAATACAGTGACCAGTAATTATGGAAATAACCCAGATAATCTATCCTGAATTTTTTAATTTCAAGATTAAGAGATTTAGAGGTACAGATGTAGCACTATCATGTCTTCATAGGAATCTCAACAAACACTACCCGAAAACTTCCAGACTCTTTTCCCTCTGTGTGTGTGTGTGTGTGTGAGAGAGAGAGAGAGGGGGGGGGGGGGGAGAGAGAGAGGAATTTCTTTCCCTGATGTACCCCTTTTGACTCCCAAATCATATTTCTTTTGTATATTATACAAATGGAAACATAGTTTAAGTTGGAAACTTGGCTAGGTGAGGAAAATGTAACTTAGTCTGGTTGCCCTCTCTAGAGAGTGCAAAAATTGCCTAACATTCTGTGGAGTATTCATTAGTAATTAAGATGTTCTTTTAATAAAATCTCATATTTCCTAGTCAACAAAATCTGGTGTATTGGCCAGATTATTATAGAAAGGAAAATGGAAAAGTGGCTACTGAACTAAATAGTATTTAAACGTGAACTCTTTAAAATGGAAACATCGTCTCTAAACACAAACAACAATCTATTTCAGAGGTACCCCAGGGAATTGCAAAAATGGAAACAATTCATATGAGGATGACTTCAATTTGCAAGTGGTTTGAGGCTGTTTGTTATCTCTTGCTTTTTAGGTGCTAGCTCTTCAACAACACAGCTTCCAAGATAATACAGGGGAAACTCTAAAAATTAGAATATCGTACAAAAGTTCATTTATTTCAGTAATGCAACTTAAAAGGTGAAACTAATATATGAGATAGACTCATTTACATGCAAAGCAAGATAGTTCAAGCCGTGATGTGTCATAATTGAGATGATTATGGCTTACAGCTCATGAAAACCCCAAATCCACAATCTCAGAAAATTGGAACATTGTGAAAAGGGTCAATATTCTAGGCTCAAAGTGTCCCACACTAATCAGCTAATTAAGCCATAACACCTGCAAAGGGTTCCTGAGGCTTTAAATGGTCTCCCAGTCTGGTTCAGTAGGAATCACAACCATGGGAAAGAATGCTGACCTGACAGTTGTGCAGAAAACCATCATTGACACCCTCCATAAGGAGGGAAAGCCTCAAAAGGTAATTGCAAAAGAAGTTGGATGTTCCCAAAGTGCTGTTCAAAGCACATTAATAGAAAGTTATGTGGAAGGGAAAAGTGTGGAAGAAAAAGGTGCACAAGCAGCAGGGATGACCGCAACCTGGAGAGGATTGTCAGGAAAAGGCCATTCAAAAGTGTTGGGGACTTTCACAAGAAGTGGACTGAGGCTGAAGTCAGTGCATCAAGAGCCACCACACACAGACGGATCCTGGACATGGGCTTCAAACGTCGTATTCCTCTTGTCAAGCTGCTCCTGAACAACAAACAATGTCAGAAGCGCCTTACCTGGGCTAAAGAAAAAGAGAACTGGTCTGTTGCTCAGTGGTCCAAAGTCCGCTTTTCTGATGAGAGCAACTTTTGCATCTCATTTGGAAACCAAGGACCCAGAGTCTGGAGGAAGAATGGAGAGGCACACACTGCAAGATGCTTGAAGTCCAGTGTGAAGTTTCCATAGTCTGTGTTGATTTGGGGAGCCATGTCATCTGCTGGTGTTGGTCCACTGTCCTTCATTAAGTCCAGGGTCAACACAGCCGTCTACCAGGAGATTTTGGAGCACTTCATGCTTCCTTCTGCATATGAGCTTTATAGGGATGCTGACTTCATTTTCCAGCAGGACTTGGCACCTGCCCACACTGCCATAGGCACCAAAACCTGGTTCAATGACCATGGCATTACTGTGCTTGACTGGTCAGCAAACTCTCCTGACCTGAACCACATAGAGAATCTATGGGGCATTGCCAAGGGAAAGATGAGAGACATGGAACCGAACAATGCAGAAGAGCTGAAGGCTGCTATTGAAGCATCCTGGTCTTCCATAACACCTCAGCAGTGCCACAGGCTGATAGCTTCCATGCCACA